AATGGGCACAAGTTGATGGAGAGGAGGTATAGATTGGACATCCGCAAGAACTACTTCACAGTTAGGGCGGCTAGGAGCTGGAACCAACTTCCAAGGGAAGTGGTGCTGGCCCCTACCCTGGGGGTCTTTAAGAAGAGGCTGGATGCCTACCTGGCTGGACTCATTTGAGTCCCGTTTCTCTTTTTGGGGTTTTTTTGTTGTTCTCCCGCCCTGGCGGGGGGTCGGGCTAGAAGATCTACTAGGTCCCTTCCAACCCTTAATCTATGAATCTATGAATCTATGAAAAACGTGGGAAGAGCAGTGGACATGATACACCTTGACTTTAGGAAGGCTTTTGACAGCCTCCCATAACATTTTCTCAAGCATGCTTAGGAAGTACAGGTTGGATGAATGGACTTTAGGTGGATAGAAAACTGGCTGGATCATCATACTCAGAGGATAGTAATCAATGGCTCAATGTCTAGTTGGCAACCGGTATCAAGTGGAGTGCCCCAGGGGTCAGTTCTGAGGCTAGTTTTGGTCAATATCTTCATCAATGGCCTGGAAGATGGGATGAAGTGCATCCTCAGCAAGTTTGCAGATAATACGAAAATGGTGGAGTAGTAGATATGTTAGAGGGTAGGGCTACGATTAAAACAGACCTTGACAAATTGGATTGAACCAAAAAAAAATCTCATGAAGTTCAATAAGGACAAGTGCGAAGTCCTGCACTTAGAATGGGATAATCCCATGCACCAATACAGGCTGGGGACTGACTGGCTAGACAGCCAGGGATCTGGGGGTTACAGTGGACAATAAGCTAAATATTAGCCAGCAGTGTACCCCTGTTGCAAAGAAGGCTAATGGCATACTGGGCTGCAGTAGTAGAAGCATTGCCAGCAGATCAAGAAAAGTGATTCTTCCTCTCTATTCAGCACTGGTGAGGCCACATCTAGAGTACTGTGTCCCGTTTTGGGCCCTACACTATGGCAAGGATGTGGACAAATTGGAGAGAGTTCATCTGAGGACAATGAAAATGGTGAGGGGGCTGGAGGATGTGACTTCTGAGGAAAGACTGAGGGAACTGGGCTTATTTAGACAAGAGAAGAGGAGACAGAGGGGACTTAATAGCAGCTTTCAACTACCTGAAGGATGGTTCAAAAGAGGATGGAGCTGGACTGTTCTCAGTGCTGGCAAGTGACAGAACAAGGATCAATGTTGTCAAGTTCCATCAAGGGCAGTTAGGTTAGATATCAGGACAACTTTCAGCACAAGGAGGATAGTAAAGCACTGGAACAGGTTACTCAGAGAAGTTGTGTAACCTTGCAGGTTTTACAAAAATCCTTGGAGGTTTCTAAGGCCTAAACAAAGCCTTGCCTGGGATAATGTATTTGGGGATGGTTCTCCTTTGAGCAGGGGGTTGGGCTAGATGACCTTCTCAGGTCCCTTCCATCCCTAATTTTCTTTGAGTCTATGATCTTCAGCCAGATCTCCACAGCAAAGTTCATATTTTGACTAAAGAAAGAAACAAAACAAAACAAAACAAAATCCCTTCTATCCTATTGTGACAGGGGCAGGCTTTCATGCCTGGTGCAAGCACTGGCCTGCCCCCTGTCTACAAGTCAGCCACCCACCTCACTCTCCTGCCACGCCTTGGTATAATAATATTGATGTGATAATTGGGCAGGAGGCTGCCCATTATACACTCTGATATTGTGCGGGCTACCCACGGCTCTGTTTCACCCCTACACCGCAGCCCAAGCCTCACAGATAGTGTCTCAGACAGCTAACTCAACCATCCCCTTTGCCTATTAGCTGTAGCCCCTTCCCTGGGACCTTCGGCTTTCCTTTAAGCCCTAGCCCCATCTCAGACCAGTCGGGTTCCCGAGCTTCTTTGGTCTATATGGGCATCCCTCGCAGTGGGCCCCTGGCTCTTTGGACCCCTATCTGGGTCCTGGCCCCAGCATTGACCAGTTGGGTCCCTCAGTTAGGTATAAGCCTTCTGCCTGCACTCAGGGATCAGGGTCCCCCATCCCTGGCTCAGGTGCTTCACAAATTGTGCCTGGCCCAATGGGGTTGCTCACTGTGGCAGGGTGCCTGCTACTTTAAGGGCCTGAGCTACTTTAAGGTGCCTGGTTGCAGCAGCCATTTTAAATCCCTGGCTGCCTTTATAACTGGATTTGTTCCCTGGCAGAGGAGGCAGCAACTTCACCTGGCTACAAGGCCACTGGTATCATCCTGGAGGTAAGGGAGGAGTTTTAGGGGATGGTTAGGAGGCTTCTGGTCCTGGGCATGACCTAAAACTGCACCCTGACAGCAGTGAGTGACCTGGTGAGGCTCTCAGTGGTGCAAGAGCCCCCAGGAAATGCCAGGCTAGTGACCACCCCAGTGAAAGGCGAGTAGGGGCACCTTAACCCCAGCCCTCACCTTTGGGTGGGTAGAGAGTAACATCTATAGCCAAGCACAATGACCTCCTGCTCCAGGGAGGGGAGTCAGAGTCCCTGTGGGACCCTGGAGCACCATTCATGGTGTGTGCAAGGAGAATAAGATCAAAGGAAGGAGTAGAGGCCAGGTAAGCTTCAGGAAGTGCCTGAGCTCGTTGGGGAGAGACCCTGCAGGGCCAGGCACGCTCCCCGAGCACCTGAGCTGGGAATGAGGGAACCCCACTCCATAAGCTCAGGCAGGAGGTAAAGACCCTGTTGAGGGACTTGAGTGGTCAATGCTGGGGCCACGACCTAAGGGTCAGAAGTGCCAGGGACCCACCACAAGGGACACCCATGATGAGCACAGAAGCTTGGGGTCCCAACTGGGCCTGAAATGGGGCCAGGGCTTACGGAAGCCGAAGTCCCCACGGTTGGGGGCCACAGCTAATAGGGCGAAGGTGAGGGTTCAGCTAACAGTCTGAGATGCCATCTGCAAGGTTTGGGCCATGGTGTAGGGGAGGTATGGAGCCGCAGACACCCCCCTAATATCAGGGTGCAACAGTTTGCAGCCTCTCACCTTAATTAACAACTTATTAATTACCACCAAGGCGTGGCAGGTGAGACAGGCAGGCAGCATGCCCAGAGGCAGGTGGGGAGCTAGCTGCAACTACTGAGGGATGTCCACCTCACCACACACACCCCAGCAGGCTCAGGTGCTTTAAGAAGCTTACCTGGCCTTCCCTGGATTAGATGGATCATATAACCCACCTGAAGGTGAGGGCTGGGGTTAAAGTGCCCCTACCCGCCTTTTACTGGGGTGGTAACTGGCCTGGCATTTTCCTGGGGTTCCTGCGCCACTGGGAGCCCCACCAGACCACCCCTTCCTGGCAGGGTGCAGTTTTAGGTCATGCCCAGGTCCAGAGCATCCTGCTCCTACCTGCAAAATGTTCCCATGCAGCAGCTCAACCATGCAATGTTTCTTGCCTACCTCCCAGCAGCAAACTGCTCTTATTTATATAGGCGGCCAGAATTCTAAAATGGCTGCCGAGATCAAACACCTGCTGAGTGCTTGATCTAGCGTTTAAAGGGGCAGGCACTACTGGTGCCCTGCCACACCTGTCCCATCAGAAACTAGAAGTGTCCCTTGCCATTCTAGCCCTAGCACAGTAGCCTGGGTCCTCCTTGCAAGCAGCTGTTCCCTTCATGCCTTACTTTCTCCTCTCTCTTATTTCCTCTTCTGGGAGCTTTTAAAGATCCTGGTGGATCATCCCTAATCACCCAAATACCCAACAGCTGGGTTTTCCTAACAGGGTTGACTATTCCTCTTTAAAGAAACAGATCACCCTATTGCAGTCTCCTCTTATTTCATTCACAAAAAGCCAAATATGATGATAACTAGTTACAAGTGGAGGAAGGGAAAGCTCCATCTATACCACAATATATAATACCAGATTTGGTTATATTGTTTTGTACCCCATCCAAGTTGCAGTTTAAGCAGACCTAAAGCTCTGACATTTTTGTTTTATACCTACACAAGACTGCTCCAGAAAACAGCTGTGTTACAACCTGGATATGATGGGTAGGAATCACTACAGAACAGGAAGGAAAAAATTACTAATTTTTAATGTATCCTAATTTAGTGAGATTAAACAAAGCAGACTAAGAAAAGTTAATACTGGTACTGTATTCATGTTTTTACCTTTCTCTGTCTTTAAATGCTTGTTCAGCCATTAATTTCTTTAGTTCTGCCAGGCATAGAAGATCCTTCTCTTCTAGTTCTTGCCATTTTTGTTGTTTCTCAGCCCAATACTTTCTCACCTAAAGTTTGAATGAATGCAGTATACAAATTAAAATAGCAGTTACTTATAAACTAAAAAGAGAATTATCAATGCGAAAAGATTGAAGAGTTAAAAAAAATATGACATGTTGTTCTTTTGTATGTTTATTTTAGTATAGCATATTGCTTATGTTGATAGGAAACAAGAACAAGTCACATTCTAATGATTCAAGGTGCAAAAATTGGTTTTGAGAAGCAACAGCGTGTGAACCACAAAAATTGAATGAAACAATTATTGACTAGAATGTATTATACTGTCCTTTCTCTTTCCATTCTACCCAACAACAGCAAGTACAGAGAACAAGAAAGCAAAACAATTGTCAATCATGACACTTCATTCCAGTTAGAAACAACAGTAACTCCAAATGTCAAGAGTAGAAATGCCAGACACAGGATAGAATAGGATAGGACAGGACAGGATAGCATAGGAGGAGAGAAGTGGGAATGATGACACACACAATTGAATGTGAATTATTTTCCTTTCTTATTTTCCTCTTCTCTTGTCTCACTCAGTAACAGTGATTACAAAAAATAGGTGTTACAGGAATAACCAAATGAGCTGCGTGGGTTTATTTCAGATGCTGGGAATGCCAGAGCTGCCCTGACTGACATTGCTTTTGGTGTGACAGGAAATGCCAAATGAAGGTGAGAGTTATGAATAGGTAAAAGTTTTACAAATTCAGTGACCCTGAAAATTGTCATGCTGCTTACTGAATGGCAGTTAATAACTTTCAACAGATACTTTTGTCCCGATCAAATGCTAAGAGGAAAATGTCTTTAATTCACAGTAGTCCTTATGGCCTACAGTCCCTAGTGTTGAAGCAAAGTTTTGAATGTAAGTGCTGCCAATGCTGGAACTTAGTTTGGCTGCGAGTGGAAAATTCCATACAGGATCAGAGCTGCCCTTTCTATAACCTTTACAGCTGTCAATCAGCCATGACCCAGTTTCCATCTTGCACATGCTCAGTAGGTGAAAAGTCTCTAGCTGGACACAGACTCAGAAGAGACTTCTCTGATGTCAGGGGACTAGAACTTTCTGGCCTAGGAGCAAGCTAATTGGCTACAGTTTCCCTATAAAAGTTCATGAGCCCCCACCTGAGTGTGGGTGTGTGGTGGTGAGTTAGGTGGAGATAGTTTTGGAGTAGTGGGTGCTGAAGAGTTGGTCCTACGGGACAATTATTTAGTGAGTTTAGAGGAGATTACCGTATTGAGGGAGAGAGAAAGCTTCCTAATTTCTATAGAAGGCTTCTCCTCTATTGTTGATTCTATTAACTTCATGTTAATCTTTGGTGGTTGCTGAGACAACGGTCAGGACTCATCTCTACGATCAGCCCGACTCTCCAGACTTCTCATTTACAGCATTCTTGAATTGGCGTCACGAAGGACATTGGACAGTTCACCTGTTACAGTTTGTTTGTCTGTGTTCCAATATATGAGCTGTTGACCAGCCCTAGGACTAACCAACAGGCAGCCGCACCTATCCCAGTGGGGTAGAATGCAAGGGCTTGTTGGGGAACCCTGTGGGCCAACAGACCCCTTTGTGTTGAAATTGTTAAAAGACTGTAACTGAAGAATCATCACCTACGCCTACAAAGCGTAAGTTAAATAAAACCCTTATTAAGTTGGAACCAAGAACGATTCGCGAGTCTCAGTTCTCCTTGCCAGAAAACCCGGCCTGTTTTCGTGTTCAATTGCCACCCCGGCCCACCATGACACTGGGGCTTCGTTCATCCCCCAGGGACACCTAGTTGTATTATCCCTCTAGACAACTAAACTGAATAGCTTTTATAAAACTTTGAATGAGAGGAAAGTAAAAATTCAGCAACTCTGTGACATCTAAGGAATGAAGTCTCTTTGTTACAATGAAGAAGGATCAAGATACCATATAAATAAAACAGCAGGTCAATAAAACAAAATTCCAAATTCTTCTCTTGAATTAACTCAAGAGAATCCAAGTCTTTTAAACTCAGAGCAGTTCTTTGAAGATAAGAAGAAGGAATCAGAAGCAAACTTAATCTTAACAGTCTGCAGCATGGGATGACCTCAATTAAATACACTATCTTAAGGTAAAATACCTTCTGAGATATATCTCCCAAAAATCTGAATGGGAACTCATGCTAAACGAAGGCACTCACAAGTTACTGACCAGTTCTTAGGTCTGTGAAAGATATGAATAAAGCTCTTCATCAGAGGGAAGAGAACAAAATGCTTTACCTTTGAAGGGACTACAGGTATTTGAAATGAGCCTGGAAAGAGTTGACCTACAGACACAGAACAACGTTTTTAAAAGTTATAGCATGGTCCCTTAATTCCTGCTACTTAAACAATAAAAAGGCTGCATTAGAAGTCTTCAATTTGAGGTAAGCAACTGAAGTAGGGATGGCTGCAGTCAGAGAAAGCAAAAAGATAGGCTATAGGATAGCAAAATAGCTGCTTAGGAGCTAGCTGCAAGACAATAGCACAGAGTCCCAGGCAAGTAGGAAGGCAGGGCACTGGCAGAAGTGACATTTTGTCATGCAGTTGGACCCTTCAAAGTGCTCTACGGCTGTGCCCTGACAGAAGTACCTACCTGCAGAGTGCTTTAAAAGTGTCTGATTGCATGACAAATGAACCTTCATTACATAAGGGTTCAGATGAAGGCGCTCCAAAGCGGAATGCTTTCAATTAACTTCTGTCAGTGCATGCTGGGACCAGGGTTGGGCTGATGCAGCCCCCAGCCCTGGTGTTGTCTTCAAGATGGGAGGCAGGAAGGGAGAGGAGGGAGTCTGGTCTGGGGTTTGCCCAGCTTGCACTTGGGGAGGGGCAGTGGATTGGAGCCCTCCCACCTCAGGAGAGCTCCAATCCACCCCACCCCACCCTCCAATGCAGGCTGGGCAAACCCCAGACCAAAATCCCTCCCCTTTCTTCCCCCCTCTCCCATCCTGAAGACAGCAGCAGAGCTGGGATAGGGGGGTAGGGCTAGGGGACAGAGGCTGCAGGCATGCAGCCAGCTCAAAACTGGAGCTCGATCCCCCAACCCCCCAGACCCAACAGAGAACATCTGTTGGGATGGGGAGGGGGGAAATCACTGTAAGTCATTGCACTTCCTGTACAGCATTATGAGTTACAGCAGGGTACTGCATGTCTGTCAGCATCCACAAAGTGCAACAAATCAGGGCAGGCTGCTTATTAAGCTGAGGGCACACACCTGCAACTGGTCAAGGGATCACCAGACTGGAAGAGGTAGAGCCTTGGCAGATAAAAGCTCAGGTCCTGACCCAGGCTCTCCATGTGGAAAAAAAAAATCTGGCACAGAGCTAAAAGACAGTTGGAACTGTGAGTGGGCCCAGGAGGGCCAGGGCTGGGAGAAGCCAGCTAAACAAGGTAGGAGCTGAGGAAAGTCTGGAGAGAAGCATCTGGCTCAACTGATGATGTTTAGGGTTTTGATTACTGTAGGCTTTTAGACTAGAGGACTGGATTGTGGCTGTAGGTGTGGACAGGAGACCATGCATCAGGGTGCTTATGGTGCTCTGTGCCCTGCAAGAAGCAGGGTTGCAACTTGGCTAAGGCTGAGAGAGCTGAAGCCTTAATAAAGATGGGCTAAAGCTGAAATAGTTGAAGCCAAGACAGAGGAGTTGAAGCCCTAGAGAGGCTGAAGCCATGACAGGGCCAGAACCCATGGAAGAGGCTGAGGCTTAGAGGGCCAAAGGTGACAGCCAGAGGAAGGGGGCCAAAGTTGTAAAGGGCAAAACCTGAACAAAAGGGATAAGGGACTAGATTTACTAACTGATGGTGACTGACATTTATGAAGCATGGATGTGGCTATGGGAGGCCACAATTAATGCTCTTAAGGCAATTTAGTGGCTTAAGGCACAGAAAGAGCCACGGGTGGTGCCTGAAGGACAGGGTAAGGGCCAGAAGGGCACAGAATAGTTAGATAGCAGATTAAGGGTCCAGAGAGCACCCAGTAGGACCATGAGTTTGGTTAGGCCAATTAAAGGCAAGTTGGTGGTAGCCTCCCAATTCATATAGATCAAGGTGTGGTAGGAGAAATAGTGGAGGAGTACACTGAGGATCTGGAGTGGGGCAGGTTTTATGTGGTCACCAGGGAGTGCCACAGCCAACCTCAGAGGCCAGACCTGCTATAAGGTACCTAAATTGCATCTAAGACCTATTAAGGGTCAATAGAAGTTAAGTTATATCTGTAATGTAGTCACTACAGTACACTGCTGTCAAAAGAGTTTTACCCATGCTGCCTCAGCAACTAATAGTGGTCTCATTATAAAAAAACAGAGCTCCATACAAGCTAAATGCCTAAAGTGTTCAGCCTGCTTTTTCAGGTGTGTTTTGCTCCTATGGCTACAATGCTAGCAGTATTCATGCTAGTTAGCGTAAGGTTACCTTGGGCATTTCTACACTACTCTGCAATCACAACACTGAATCCAAGGCAGACTCTCTAGGCTACTAGTCATGTAGGCCCCTTTGAACCTTTACCTTTCAGCTGCAACCACTAAAAGTCTTGGCCATCATCCTCTCAGAAGAAACAATTTACTTGGCACTCAATCAAGTTGGAAGGGGCAGTTGATTCTAAGTTCCTTTCCTAGACAACATAGCAGCAAACCCTAAAAAAATGAGTGCATGCAGTGGCATAAGAAATAGAGTTGGTGCCTAGGGCAAACCTTGCAGTGGGGAGGGAGGGGTTGGTGCTTAGTTCTGACAGTGGGAGCAGAGGAGCATGTAAATTATGAAAACAGGGGGATGGGTGCAGGTTGTAAATTATGAGAGCAGGGGAAGGGGTTCAAGTCCTCAGAATTAAGGAGGGAGATGCATGGTTCTGAGAGTTAGGGGAGGGTGGGTGGGACTTGCAGCAGGTTTAACCATGCCAGGACCTCCTGAACAGTTCCTTGTCTGAGCTGCTGCCTCCATGTGCTCTGCCCATCCCAACTGTTGTTCTTAAAGCAGCAGCTGGGGACTGTTTTGGAGCTCCCAGTACAGCTATGCT